AGAGAGATGCTGCAGAAATCAGCAAACACTAAATCTTTAGCAGAGCGATCCTCCTCTCTCCCACACTGTGTACCATTCACATGGTATGGAGAGAGCGGCAAGGGATCCAATTCTTCCAGCAACCTGCCATCGCCTACCAGCTCAACTGAACCTTCCTCTGAAAATATAAGTCCAGCTAAAAAAGGGTCAAAGGTAGAAAATAAAAACTACCTTATTCCCACTGTGTTGAGTAGCATAATTGGCTTTGTGTTTCTAGAAAAAAGAACAGGCCAATATGTGACTACTACAATAAACAGTGCATGGTGTTCATTGTATAGTAACAGCTCATCCAAACAGAACATCTCTGTTATTGTACCATTCCACATTCTACCTTTTGACTCTGTCTTAATGTACATTATTTCAGTAAACTAACTGTGGTGTGCTGTACTGTAACAAAAGCAAGTGGTGCCAGTGGAAATTAGCATTTGGATCCACTGAACAAATGCTAGATTTGTGCATTGAGTTATAGATATTTTCTTCATTCTTCAGGACTGGTTGTGGGAATATGTACCCATGTTCAAATGAGATGTTTGCAAGTAAAGAAATGCTGTATGCTGTCAGTCATCTGCCTTTTTCCCCCAGTAATGAAATCTGTTTGTCATGCATGCTGGATGATTTAATTCTCTAGATGAAGATGCTTGAACTGTAAATATGAACTGTTGCAATTTAATACATCTGTGTTATTCCTTTCTATGTGCATGAATGTTTCAGCATGATAACTCCTGAAATAATCCTTAGTTATAGTAATATAATTAGCTTTTTCATGATTATCTTCACTTCCAGAAAATATTTCTCTACTTGTATCTTCTTATGACTTACAGCAGTTGATTTTTTTATTGGTCTGGTAAGAAGAAACGGATACAGTTCTCAGTTTTATCTACAGGAATATGAATCAGAAATCTAATATCTCTGTCTTCTGCAAACAAATGCATGTTCATAATAGCAGTTTCCACAGGCATTTCTTATTCCTTTGGTGCCAAAAACTAATGATACCTTAGTTCTGCTGTGCACTAAGCTGTGCAAGGTGATAGCTGTTCTTATGTTACCTGGCAGGGGAGAGCAACACAAGGCATACACATGTCCAAATCAGATTGATAGAAGACCACCAATGAAATCTCTGAAGATTAAAGAGAAACTAATCAGTTACCTCTTTTCTTTTAGAAAAAAAAAAAAATATTATTAGACCTGTAAGTCCTATTTGTGCCTTTAAACAAACATTGTATAAAATATTTTTCAAAGAGGGAAAAAAGCACACCCTTTTAGATATTTTTAGTTGAGGTTGCAGGGGGTTGTCCTGCTATCATCATTATTAGCAGGCCTGGCTATCTTGTGTTTTTCCTATAGAAAATTAAATTTTAAAGGCTTATATTTATTGTAAGCTGAAGCTTGCACAAAATAGAGGTGGAGGAAAAATCAGAGTACTTAAAAAAGAAAAACACATTCTTCACACAACAGGAGGTAGAGCTGTTGAACTCCTGGCCTAAGAACACTGTGTGGGCTAAGGGAGCTTGCTCAGATTTTCTTCTTCTCTAGAAAGAGTTGGGAAAAACAGAACAGGAATTCTAAACATAGGTGAGAAAGATAGGTCCAATATCTTGGTGAGGGTGGAATAAAAGCATACCTTTTTTAGTGTTGTTTTTGTTGTTTCACTTTTAAAGTGAATATCAAAGATGAATTTAAAACTCATTTAGATGTCAGAGTAGAGATTAGAGGTTTCTGTATTGTCAACTGTATATTCAGGTTAAATGGCATATCATGGTGTCCTTAATTTTTTATATATTTTGGGTTTTTTTAATTGTTCTCACTCTAATGTGAACTACTTGTTAATTTTTGTCTTCTTGGTAATTTTGTTGTATTCCTGAAAAATACATGCCTGCTTTTGCTATTATTTGCTGCAAGGTGTGATGTCTCTCACTGCATTGTTAAGGAAAAATAACAGGATTGGCTTTATCAGTATTAGTTCAGTAAACAACATTCAATATCCAAAGATCACTTTTACTGTCAATTTCAGTTTTTTTCTGAAGGTGTAGACAAAGAGGGAGGATCCTTTCACTTTTCTAGGAGGTTATTTGGGACTCAGAAATGGATTCACAGGATATTCTCCTTGCTCTTTCAATAGGAATTTTCACTTCTCTCTGTTCATTTTCTCTGTCCTATTCTCTGTGCTACTGCCTGTGCTACGCTTCTCCTAAATATCTGGAGGACAGTGAATGCTAGTGATTAACCTGCAGAAGCAGTAATTTAGCTCCAGGATGAGAGCCAGCATCTTAAGAGTCTGGAAATTGCTTTTAGACACCTTTGTTATTCATTGAAGCGTTAAGCTGGCAAAGCTGTCTCTTGAAGTACATGGTGCTAAAAATGTTGTGTGTTCTATAAATATTATCAGTACAAAACATTAGGCTTCCTCATGTGTGTTGTTACTGATCTGGTAAATGATTGAAATCACTCTTAAACTATGCCAACCTGGAAGACAGAAAGCAAATTTCCCTTTTAGATGCATGTATGACACAATTTGTTCATTCTTACTCCTCTTTTTCTCCACAGAATTTTACATTCAATGATGATTTCAGTCCCAGCAGCACAAGTTCAGCTGATTTGAGTGGTTTAGGAGCAGAACCTAAAACCCCAGGCTTCTCACACTCCTTAGCACTGTCATCAGACGAGGTATGCTGGTGGAGTTGTTTAATTTGGGAAATAGCCGTTTTCTTTATCCTATGGCATTTTGTGCGATTTCTCAGATAATAAAGGGAAGCTTTTAGGCAATAGAATGGGAGAAGAAAATGAATCTTGGTCTCTACATAAAGATTTTTCTTGTTCTTATAACAATGATGTTAAATAAGCGCCCTGTGGTGTTATCATAGGGAAGTGGAATGCAATTGGTTTCCTAAGAGGTGCTAAATCCTTTCACTTTTCAATATATTTTTCCCAATTCTACATACGTACATGTGGACCCATAGATACATATATATCGATACACTAAACTAGGCATAGCTGAGATAATTTTGATATAACAAACACACAGCATAGTTTGGTAAATGTCACTGAGATGTAAAGCACCTACCCTTAGACTAATTTTTACCCTGATACATGAAATTAATGATGACCTGTACATGCAGTAATTGTGTGTTATTGTACCTGAATGTACGTGTATTGATTATAATGTGTATGTGTTAATCCACTTTGCATTCTTTGTGCTTGCTTTGCACAGTGGATTTGAATTCAGTTGCTTCAAACCAGAGTTTTTTTCAAACAGTGATAAAGTAAAAAGGTATTCCTAACCCTGTAAATTGGTGGCATAATTGAGCCAAATATAATGTATTGAAAATATTCTTCTTAAGATACTAGTTTTGTAACTCAGGTGTCAGTGAGGTTGCACAATTTGACAGTACCTCACAGCACATCCTGTGGACTCAGGAAACCTGTGCAGTTGTTGTTTTACAAAACTCCCTAAGAACTTCACATTTTTCATGTGAGATTTGAGCCAGGTTTTTTTTTTCTAGAGAGGAGGAACTTGAAGTATCTATACCTAATTTTTTATGATAGGTAGGTTTTTCTATTACTGCCTGCATGCTTTGCTTGGGTTTGGAGAATGAAAGCTGTTCTATGCAACCCCATTTGCCAAACTGCAGGTCTACAAATCCAGCCATTCTTTGGAGGTTACTTACTGCAGGTAATCAAGGGCAAAAATTGGTAACAATCATAAGAGACTGCAGACAGGTCTGTATAGTCTATGAATCACTGAAAACAACAAAGTCAAAATTTCCACTTTATTTATTATTAATACTATCTCAATAATTCATTTCATGCCTTACCATGTTTAATTCCCCTTACATCATTATGTATTTGATTGTGACAATGCTCTGTGCCCAGTGGTATTGAATTAAAAGCTTGAAAATGCTTCCATTTTGCGTGTTCAGCTCTCTAATTTATCACTTCTAAAATATCAAGCCTGAAGGAGTCTATAAAAATGAATGTGTTTTCTGCTAAATTGCTGCCTCCGAATCAGGCAGCATGGTCAGCAAGAGCTGCAGTGGAAACCTCCCCAGCCACCTTGGCCAGGGATTAGGCCAATGCTGCTCTTCAGCCTTTCATAGCACATTGCTGCAAGTACTCCTTTGCTCCAGCTTCTCTGGCAGCTTGGACATGATTATTTGAAGAAGATCAAACAATGAAAGGGTGGGGAGGCAACCCAGTTCTTGCAGGCAGTTCTCTAATTAAGGAGTTTTTGCTCTTGGAAATGGAGCCATTGGGAAGGTTCCCTCCAGTTCTAGGGTGTCAGGATCAGGAACTCCAAGGGGGTTTCGCTAATGCAGTCTTAGGTTTAGCTGCCAAGTAATGCGTGTGCTGAGCTTTCAACATAACCTCTTTGCTTGTGGAAATAATTATTTGTAAAGAAATCTTACTGGTTTTGAGTAGCCGTATTTGTTTGCAAATCTTGGTGCTGCCCTTGCCTGAACTTTTACATGCTGTTACATGTTTGGTATTTTGTTTCTATAATGCTTCTTTTTCCCATTTCTTTGTTGCTCCCTCACTCAGAGCCTGGATATGATTGATGATGAGGTGAGATACTAGTGTGCTGTTGTGGTGAACTGTGTGACCATCGCGTGGCAACGTATCGTCTCATTTGCAGAGTCATATTTCTTGTTTCACAGTGTTGTGTTGCAAACCCCCTTGTTTGAGCAGAGTATGCGGATGTCACTGGCTCCTCTTTCCTTGTCTTGAGTTTCTCTCTCCTTATTGCTAAGAGTTTTCAAGGCCACAGCAAACTGCAGTTTTGCAGTATGCTGGAAGTGGGAGGAGGGTCAGTGTCAAAGCACATCTACTAGGCCAAGCATCAGCAGCACTGAGCTCCTGCTGACAATAGAAGAAGGAAAAGATAGTGCTTAAACTATCTCTTTCCCAGCCCTGAGAACTGGACAGCCAGAAGCCAAGAGAGCTCCCAGCATCACCTAACCCAGTGTAAAAGCTGTTCTCAGCCTGTAGCAGCTGCGTTGCTGACCACAGCTAGGACAGAGCAGCTTCTGTTTCAGGTCCTGCTGGCATACTCCTGGGTGGAATAAAGTGGCAGAGCAGGGACACAGGGCTGCTCTAGCAGCTCATGCCTCAGCTGCCCTGCTGCAGCCCAACATGATGAGAGCAGGGTCTGGGCTGCAACATCACTCTGTGTCCTGTACTGCTCCTCTGTGTCATCTCATAGTTTTCCATAGGAAGCATCAGTCTCGCTGGCTGTTTGATGTCATCACTTTGAACTTTACAGTAGTTTTCTGGGTTTTTTTCCCTCCTGAATTCCTTGTTTTATAACTTAAACACATCATAAAGATCTGTGAATGAGCCCAGGAAGTGGAATGCTCAATTCATTGCATCCTTTAGAAACCTTCTAATCTGAAGGATAAAAATCTTGTGAGGGAATGGGAGCATACCTGTTTTGAATTGTGCCACCTGGCCATTTCAGTCCCTGTTTGGGTTAAAAGGATTGCCAGTTCCCTTTTGTTCTCTGATTGTATAGATAAAAGGCTTTTTGGGTACCTTGTACTCAGATATCTGGTTAGATAGAGATGGAGCATAGCAGTGTGAAATTGTTGTTACTGTAGTGTAAAAGTAGTACAGATACCTCTGCTCTGATGCTGGTGGTTTGTACAGAAATGTTGTTACTCATCTGTGTTACCCTTTTAATAATAATAATAATGCAGCATGTTTTTCTCACAGATCCTTGATGATGGGCAGTCTCCTAAGCACAGTCAGTATCAGAGTCGTGCTGTTCATGAGTGGAGTGTGCAGCAGGTTTCCCACTGGCTGATGAGCCTGAACCTTGAACAGTATGTGTCTGAATTCAGTGCCCAGAACATTAATGGGGAGCATCTCCTTCAGCTGGATGGGAGTAAGCTCAAGGTAATTAACCGACTGGGTTTCAAGACTAGTTGTAGTATTTGTTGTCACTTTGCAAGAATGCATCCAGAAAGCAATGAATCCTTGTGTGTGGAGAGACTAATAATAAACACAGATTATAAAGCCACAGCAACACTTTTAGAACTTCCCATATGCACTTGGATTCAGAAGCTTCAGAAATAGAGGGTGTTTGCTTTGTGAAAATTCTCAGTGTATATAATATGTATATATATATACAATACAATATAGCAGCCTGTGTTAGTGGTATTTGCATGCAAATATTTCTTACCCAGCTCTGTTTTGTGAAAGGGTGATTCAGAGAAGATAGACAGACATACATCAGAAGTAGCAAGTGAATAATGGATTAGTGGGATACTAGAGGCATAAGCTGATACCAGTTGTACTATGTGAGAATTAAATACAGTTTTGATGTATAAAGTATGCATTGTTTCTTGTAGTGAAAGTAGGAGCCTACTTCTGTCAAAAATAATTACAGGAAGGAGTTGTGGGAAGCTCAGCAGATCTGAGAATTCAAGTTTGGTGTTTCCCTTCTGAATTTTTTTGATGGCACTTCACTAAGGGTTTTAGAAGACTTCAAGTGAACTTTTTGATTAAGGCACAGCAGTGAGAACTGGGACGTCTTGTTCTGTGTAGACTTAGATGACTTCAAGCAAATAGTTTATTTGCCTTATTTGATCAATGAAATCAACATTGGCTGTGGCAATGAGATCTCATTCTCATATTCTAGAAGTGGAAGGCATGGAAAGTAATACAGAAGTACTTACACATCAGTAGTGTACCTGAGTCTGTCTCAAATTTGCTTCATTTTTAGAGTCTTCTACCTAAGAGGAGTTACTACTAGAGTACGAAAAGAGAGGGTGATAGATTAAACCAAATTAAATAATTCTTTTCTATTTTTGTCTTCCCCCCCCCTCAGGCTCTTGGTATGACATCTTCCCAGGACAGAGCAATCATTAAAAAAAAGCTAAAGGAAATGAAAGCATCCTTGGAGAAGGCTCGCAAAGCTCAAGAGAAAATGGAAAAGCAAAGGGAAAAGCTTCGGAAGAAGGAACAAGAGCAACTGCAGAGGAGATCGAAGAAAACAGACAAGTGTTCATCAGATGCAACAGAGGGCACTAATGAGCAGTGATAAGCAGAAGTGCCGCTGTGTTTGGAAAGTGGAGGCACGTCAAGGGAAGGGAAACTCATATCCACTCCGGTGCCCCTTCAGCTTTCTTGTATTCATCACCCAAGATTGTGTACAGAGAAATGGGGCTAGACACAGAATGACTAGGGATGTTTATATTGTGTAGTTTTATTTTCTCGCATATCCAGTTCACGCTCGTTGCTGTTGCCATGTGAAACAACCCCAGCCCCTCAGTTTGTTTTGTTGTTGTTGACAGCTAACAGATTTCATATTTGTGTGGTGGTGTTTCCTTCCCATCTATTCTTCTCTATTGAGCTCTGTGTGTTTGGTCACTTCAGTAACCAGCATGATGCCGAGGAGCATGGTCCACTGTTTCACCTCTTCTGAACAGGATGGCCAGTCAACGTGATTGGTGAACATTTCTTCAGCTGGGTAAAAGGAGTTGTGCTCTGTCTGATTAGACTTGACTTAACTTTCTAACTGGAAGTTCAGTTTCTTCATGGTATTTGGATACTCAGTTCCGTCTGCTGGAGTAAGTTTCATCTTGCATCAGTACCTTTAAGTGACTGCTCTGGCAACACAACTGCTCAGTGACTTCTTCTTATACACTGGAGATAAAGACAGGAGAGTCGATATTCCCCCTGGGTAAAAGACAGGAGGTGAAACTCTTCCTGTTACCTGTACAATAGTTAATCCAGGAAGGAGGCAAAGCCTTAAATGGTTATGTGGGTTTACACAGAAATCTGAGGATAACATTTATCCTTTAGATATCTGAGCAAGGATGAATTTCTAACTAGAGCACAGCATATATATCTGTAAAAATGTCACTGTGCTCCCAGCGTCTAGGCAACTTTCTTATAGCACACTCCACTTTCTTTTTCATGTGTTTTGAATAAGAAACTGGGCTTATTTTGTTTCAGATACTTTTTTTTTTCCCCAGGAAAAACACCACACCTTCAGATCTGTTCTCCAGTAAGCACTGGGAGAATAAGCTTTGTGCTGTGCTATTACAAAGCTGGTGGTGGAAACAATTACCAAACTTGAGTCTGCTGAAGATTTTCAGTTTTTACAGAAGTGCACTTTAAGAAAAGGCAGACAAATGATTCTGGTTAAAATTAAATTTAGTACATTGCTGTTAAGGTCAATGCTGCCATGGAGGTGATGGTTACTAAATCCAAAGCTCCCACATTTTAACTGTTTTGATTGACGTTTTTAAAGACTATCCCCACCAAAACCTGAATTTTTGGGCATAGGCTGCAGAATGTTTTGATGGTTGTATTATATCCTTCAGAGATTTCTGTGGTGTGAGGCCATGGGTGAAGCCTGCTGTGTAGTTTTGACTATGGCAGAAGCAGTGTATGGTGTTACTGTCTCTTAAAGAGCAGTATTAAACTACACAGTATTTCTTCAAAAGGATGGACAGACAACAGGCAAATCTCCAGAATGAGAAGGTAGAGATATTAGCTTACTGCTTTATAGTCAAAGCTAACTGTGTAGCAGTTGAGAAACGTCACTTCCCATTCGTGCATCCTGGAAGTGGCAATCTTCATCTCGTCATGCCAACCCATAAATTGCTTAAGATGGTGATGCAAAGTTAGAATCTTGAACTTAAAAAATTGCCAGCCTAAAATTGCAAATACTGAATTACTTTTAAGCAAAATGTGTGGTTTAGTTTGGCTTGGCTTCTGCTCTGTGCTTTATGGCATTCAGGTTTTTGTCTGCAAAGTTCTCTGAAGTTCAGATTTGAAACACTTGGGGTGCACTGTTTATAGTTAAATTTCTTTTGATCCTAATAATTTCTTTGACGTGTAAACTGGTCTGTAAACTGAGAGAGCCTACTTCATTCAAAATTAATACACAACAGATCTACTTAGCATTAGCTTTATTTTTCCTTCCAAATCCAATTTCTACAAGTTTCTGATGTATATTTTATTCAGACCTAAAGCTGAAATTGTCATAAAGGATACTTTCTGGTATTTCTAAAGGCTTGTGATATATTTCTTGAGATACACCACCAACAGAGAAATACATCTGCTAACAAAAATTATATATTGCAGTAAATCTTTCTGTGCTCTACGGGCGAAAAATTGTACAAGTGCTTAACAGCCTAATAAAACTTGGATTCTTTGAGTAAGAGAAGTTATCTGGAAGCAACTGGAAATTTAATATTTTACATACGATATTGAATAAATGCATTTGATGATTATTTTCTTTTTAAGTTATGTTTACATTGTAGTAATGTTTAAGTGGTTGTATATAGTAATCTAAGGTGGTGTCCCAGTTTTATGTTGTTTATTTTCTTAGAAACCTGAGCAGACTGCTTGGCATTATACACTGAGTTTTCATTCTTGCTGCTTAGAATGGTGCCTGGTTAATCTCTTCGTAAATCATGTTCTTATTCTGCAGAATAACTAATTCAACTTAAGTCCTTTAAGCATTCGGGGGATTTTTACTGCTTTGTGGTAATGTTATTTTGTTATTCTCAGACTAAAAAACATCAACAAAACCCTAATTTAAAGAAACCTGGTAGCTTAAATTTAAAATAACAACCATTAAAATATGTTTTGATCAACATGTGAAAACTAAGCAAAACAAGCAATGTCAAGAGCTTTGCTCTTCTTTCTGTGATAAAAGAGATTTATGTGGTTCCTGTTATTAAATATGGCAACTCAATCTTGGGATGTGCAGAAATGTCACTGGATAACAGACAAAACACAGTTTGAAACTTTTCTTGCTGCTCTATAGGACCTTTAAAGTTGTGTTGCATTTTTTCCCCTTGTGTTGTGTAATGACATGTATGAAACAAAAGATGGATGTCTCATTCTTAACTTAAACTTCCTGTAAACCAATGCTAAGTCAAACTAATGTGGGGTTTGATGTAATAAGAAGAAACTAATACTCTGTGCTAAGTGACTGGACAGACTTTCTCATTTGGTTTATCTGCAGATGTACCTGTCGCCTACTTTGTGTATTTATTTGTGGAGCAAAGGCAATTTAGAAAAGGCTGACTTGCCTGGCCACCATTAAACTGCTGTGCAGGCAGTGAGGTGAGTCCATGGCCTCGAGCCATGTGCTGGTGTCATCATTACACCTAGGTGACCACAGCAGACTGGCCAAAAGTTACTTTCTCCCTGGTTAGGGTGGAAGGAGAGTTCTCTAAACTCCTGTTCTGTTCATTGCTTGTATTGCCAGGTTGGGAATATATCGAGCCTTTGAAAGGGTGAAGAAAGGAGAATTAGCAAAAAATGGAGCTCTCAAAAATAGGAAATAGAAGATAAACACTGCAGGTTACTTTAGTGCTAAACCCCCTGGTGTTTATACTGAGATTGTGGAGAGAGGAGGCTCCGTGCTCTGTCCAAATCAGCCAAGCATTCTGACATTACTCGCTTCCAGCTTCTATTTTCCCATGTGTTGGGGTGCTGCACCCATGCAACTTCCATGTGAAAACTCCCAGTTTGGTTTCAATGTGCCCGAGGAGACCAGGACTAGGGCATGAGGAAGGAGCCAAACCTGTTCACTGCAGCACACAGAGCACTGCCCACTGCTGTTTGCATTTCACTTGCTCTGAGCAGGTCTGATGGGGGTTGCTGTAAGCAGAGCCTGTTCTCGATCATAGGTTGGAATTCACAGCGGAACAGAAGCCAGTAATAAAAGCTGTTAGGTGATGTTTGTATTTCAGTATATGCAAATACTTGCATATTTTTTTAACTTAATTGATCAGACATCTTGATGTCTGATCACCTGCATGAAGGACACAGTAGTGCCATGTCTGAGCTTGTTCTCTTGTGCTTGGTTGATACGAACTTTTCTAGATTGTTGAGTTTTCCCCAAGATAACTTTGGTTACTATTTAGTTATTGGGAGATATCAAAACAAACCACAGGATACCACAGGAATTGAGCAGCTGGAATTACCACTAGAATTACTGAGCAGCTTTTCTCTGAAACTTGCCAGCCCTCAGCTCTCATCATTCAGAGGTGCTTGACACTGAGCACCAGGGTTCCTTGTACTTAATTGCTTCTATCAAAGCCACCTGTCCTCCTGAGATACTCCACCTTCACCTCCTGGCTCACAGACTGGCAAGTAAGAGGTGGGCTCATTTTTGAGAATGAATTGTGTTTCACTTCTAAGTCAAAGAAAGAAATACGACTCTTGTTAATAGTGCAGAATCCAGTTCTGTAGTAGCAAGGAAGAGGATCATCATTTAGTTGAATGTGGCCAAGAAGTACCATTCCAGGTACCAGCAGAATGCTGAAAACCTAAGGAAACTGTTTGCACAGTTTCAGCTGTAGTTCTTCACAGCATCTGCACTGTAGGTTGTACTGTTCCTCCCTGCTGGAATTTAGGGAAGTTTGCAAGAATTAAGTCTTGTGTTGATCTCTTAGCTGTGTGTTTACAGAGGAAAAATGTTGTCAAGGCAAAAGTAAATCTTATCTTGTTCTTTTGACATCGGCACTATCAGCAAACTAAGTGATTTTGGGTCCTGACCTTTTTAATGAGCACTTCCCTCATTCTATGCTCTTCCTTGCTTAAAAATCTCAGGAAACCTATGCCATGGTCCAAAACACTGGAAAAAAAAAGACATTTGAAAATGCAGCACATACAAACTTAAGTTGTAAGTCTCTAACAGCCAAAATGGACAAAGCAGCTAGACGGTTTGGGTTTAGTTTTGTTAAATTACCAGTTGGAAATGATGACATCAGTCTTTCTAAATGTTTAAGTGATTTGTGGCTTGATTGCCTCTTGAAACACGTATGGTTTTGTGTGTGCACATCCGTATGTACATGCGTGGGTATTCATACAGTTACAGTGCACTCACAGCAGTGAGCACACAGTAGCTGTGTGTGCAGGGCTGGGCCACATGGTCTGTGGGGTGGGCAGAGGGACTGCTGGAGCACTGCCCCTCAGTCTCACCAGCATGCTCCCCCCTGTCTGTGTTGGTAGATTTGCTCACTCTTTTCTCGTGGAGTTTTGCATACTTTGCA